CAGCAGCTGTTTAACACATCTGGAAGGAAACCAGTGAGATTTTAATATGACCATGACCATTATGATATGATGTTATGTGGGGGAGTGGTGGCGCAGAGGTTAGAAGACAGGTCTGTGATTGGAAAGTCGCAGGTTCAACTCCCAGTACTGCCAACATCAAAATGTGGGTGGAAAAGGTGAAACACCCACACCTCCCTCCACCCTCATTGGCTCCACTCTGGGCTTATGAGCAAGGCACTCAACCCCCACCATCTGCTCCCTAACAGGTCTCTCTAGAAAATGAGTTCTCATGACTCAATGAGACTACCTGGATAAATAAAGGGTAAATGAAAAAATAAAAGTTTAAAATAGAAATACTCACATCATGAGGACGAGGTTGTGTGTGTGCCGTGCACGGTCCTGAGGTTGTGTGTGTGACGTGCACGTTCCTGAGAGGCCACAGACAGAGCAGCTCCATCTTTTGTTGAGTTCCTGTAGTCCTGCACTTTTCAAGCTGAAATGAAAAAAACATCATGAATATGAACTTTACAGTCTATAGTTACCTGTTCATATAAACACATGGAGGTGTCTCACCTTGTGACTGACAATAAAATATGTAAATTAATGAACTTATAATGATGCTCCTACTCTTTGAAGGTGAACCGATGGTACCACACCATCTCTCAGTCGGACAGTCTGATCAGTTTGATCAAAATCCTCACTGCTCAGATGAATCCTCCTCAAAGATACTTCCTCCTCTTCCTCACATCTTGTTCTTTGGGAAACCTTCAAAATGAAAACAGGAGATTTGTGTCTACACAAAAACATTGTACAAAGGAGGTCAATCTTATTTTCTATTTCCTATATTCTCCCCATTTTTATTTTTTTTTATATCCTAGAACTTAAACAAAACTCCAGTTTTGATGCATATCTGTTGATAATGAACCAAAGCTACAGAAATAGTATGTTTGTTAGAAAAATATTCCTGTCATCAGATCTCAGTTAGCTTCATTGCAGCTGAACACTGTGTTACACTGAACATCACATCAGCTGGTGGAAATGAATACAGTACAGTAATATTATATTCACAAAATACTAACAATATGTTCATCTTGTGAAAAGTTATCCCCCGAGACCTGACGTCAACAGTCCGTCGATTAGAACAGAAATAAGCTGTGAAGTGCTGAGACATCTACTGATTTAACCAAATAAGGACGACCGCTCCAATATGGCGGCTGAAAATCCTGCGCCACAGCAGCCAATGGGGGATCTAGTGATTATATCTATGCTGGCCAGTAGGTGGTCGTTTGTAAATGACCGGAAAAGCTTTAAACATTTTAAAATTTAGGTTCACATATTTTGACTCTGCATAGTTTTGATAACTTTTTTTTTTTTTTTTTGTCGGAGCTGAAGTACTACGTAAATAAAAATTCAGATTTTACTTGTCTATTCAATTCAATTCAGTTTTTTTATATAGCGCCAAATCACAACAAAGTTGTCTCAGGGCACTTTACAGAAACATTCACATACATAATAGCCAATTAGTAAAGTTCTCTATCTAAGAAATCCAGCAGACAAGTTGAATCTTAGCTTCGTTGCAGTCTCCCATCCTGAGCAAGCACAGTGGCAACAGTGGAAAGGAAAAACTCCCTCTTCAAAATAAGTTTTACATTTCTTTTACAAGCCAAATTCTTAAGAGACAGAAATTGAGTCAGTTTGATTCCTTACTATATTATTTAGGTTTTCAATATAGGGTTTGTTCCAAGTATGCTTTTGTTTTTTCAACCATTTTTTTCTGTTAAAAAAAACAAAACCCTAACCATAGATAAACCTAGCTTTTTCTATATACATTTTGTACTTTTATGAATATGCAGAAATTCTGTAAAGCAAATTTTATTCAACTACAAAGAAGATACAAATTTGCCTTATTCACCTCAAATGACTTACCTTAAAAAAAACAAATTTGGGCATTTTGAATTAAAAAAAAAACTGTGCAAATTCACCTTATTAATTTAGTTAAAATTACATTGTATTAAAAGACTAAGAATGGATGACAACTTTGAATAAAGTTTTCCTCACTGTAGAAGATAACTAAACGTTTTTAATTTTTAATTGCCTAAACCTGCTTGGTATAAATCAGAAAAGCATTAAACCAAGGTGGGTTTAAGCAATAACCACCTTAAAACAGAACAAAAGCACATTTTGATTCAACACAACCAAAGGGATCTCAAACAGCTTTTTATTACATTTTTCAATCAATAACAGTACAATTTAGTACAGTATCTATCTTGCATCCAGCTCACCGTGGAACACCAACAGACTGAAATGAAATACAAAAAGTGGAAAGATACAGAAGGGTGCCGAGCTCTATAATATTAATGGAAAGAGAAAAGGGAGTCCATCTCAGCTGAATTGCATTTTCACTTGTGGCCACACACGATTACATCACATTTATTGTACATCATTGCAGAAACCAAAAAAAAAAAAAAAGTGAAAATATCTCACAACCTTAACAAAAGTGCTTCTGTATACAGTGAAATGCTGTCATTCAGATGCTCTGGTTTTCAATTTAAGACCAAAAAAATAAAAAAATATACAAAAGTTTTAGCATGGACAGTATGTGGACATTTTTTTGTTCCATTGATAGTGAAGATTGGAAGGAGAGGAGGATTTGTCAAGGATAGAATTTTTACAATTGTTATAATTATTAAAAAAATTGGCATTAATAGAACTGGTAAGCATAATTTACACTAAGTAAGAAGTTAATATTAAGTCTTTCATCATTCTTGCTCGCTCTGGTGCATAGCATTACCAGTATTAGTACATGATGTATGCAGTTTGAGCCAAAAAATGGCTTCTATTAAGTTCAATCAATAGGTTGCTCTCCTTTTTTTTGGTAACAAAAAAAAAAAAAAAAAAAAAAAAAAAACTAAAATAAAATTGCACCATTCAAAGCAAGTCTACAGCATGCACATCTAAATTAACTCATGGCAGACAAAATTAAATGTTTCAACTTAAAACATCAGCTCATCATTTTCAGACATTGATTTGTACATTTCATTCACAGAGTTGTAACTGCAGTCCCAAGCAAAGGAAGTGTGTATTTAGTTAAATGAGGTGTTTCACTCTGTGGATACAGAACACAAACCCCCTTCTGTATAGTAAATTCAAGCCATGCCCTTTTTTTATCTTGGCAACTACCTCACTATCCCGCTCTATCTTGCCAAAAGGCATATACAAGAATTAAGGGGTTTAACAGGATAATTTTCATCATAACTCCTTTTTTACTGGAATGAGCATTCATAACTTATAGCATGTGCTTGGTTAGTTAACATAGTATTAGTTGAGAGGCAAAGCTTCATGTGCAAAAAGCTGTGATGGAACAAAAACAGCTAGAATATAAATACATTATGGACATTTCAAAAGCTGCTCGTGTAATATGATCCAAGCTTTTACTTCTGCGTGTTTTTCTCATCTATGATTTACCTGAATTACAAGGACAAGCTGTAATTCAAACATATCTAAAACCACTAAAGTAATATGACAAAGAGAAAGCCATCAAGAATAACAAACCATCAGAATAGAAATCTTAAAAAAAAAAAAAAAAAAAAAAAAAAGTTAAATAATTTGTACAATTACACTCCAACATTTGCTTTCAAGACGCACACATTTGCATGGGATGATAGTGTTTTTCTCTTTCAAGGTAACATAAAATGGTCCGAGAAGGAATGCACAAGTTTCTGATTTGAGACCACAGGAGATCCTTTCTTAACTAGGTGATAAACAATTGTGCTCTTCTTTGTGTAGGAAAGGCATTGGTTTCCTTCAGTTTTTTTTTTTAATTTTATTTATTTTTTGTTAGGTTTTTTTTTTTTTCATTTTGTTTTTCATGGTGTCCCAAGTCAGTTTAAACAGTGTTGAAGAAGATGCTGTGAACATTCTCAAGTTGTAATGGTCTTCCAGTCAACTTTGGAGTTAAAAGAACATCTGGGAAAGAAAGAAAAACTTTTAGGATTTGAAGAATCAAGTTTGATAGTTTTGTTCTGACCTGCTCATAGGGCATTTTGATGAGTAATTTTAAAGCTCACTGGACAGAGAAAAAAACAACCCCCCCCCCCCCCCCAAATTATCTAGACCAAAGGCAGCAGGTTAAGTGTCCACAACCAGTAGCAGACCAAACCTTGTGTCACTAAATACAACAACAGACAACAAAACAACCTACAGGCTTCAATTCCAGATCTTCAGAAAACTGTCCCAGGATCCTGTTGCAACTGCCATGCCGTCATCAGTAACCCCCAGGCAGCTAACACGGTTGTCATGTCCAGCCAACACCCCTAAAAAAATTACAAAAAGTTGTTATTAAGACTGAAAGAGAAAAGCACCGAAGCAAAGTAACAAGTAGGGTTTAGCTGAACAAGCTTGCGTTACTGTTTAGTTACTCACCAGCACGGTCAGCTTTTAGTGTGTCCCACACATTACAGTTGAAATCATCATATCCTGCCAGAAGAAGGCGTCCACTCTTTGAGAATGCAACAGAGGTAATGCCACATATGATATTGTCATGAGAGTAGATCATTAATTCCTGATCAGCTCGCAGATCGAACAGCCTGCAAGTGGCATCATCAGAACCCGTGGCAAAAGCATTGCCATTAGGGAAAAACTATAAAACAAAAAACAATACAAAACATATGCTGAATCAGTGTCATTACATAACAGAGGTTTAACATAAAGTGGTCAAACTGGGTCACATTGACTAAATAACTTACACAGATGGCGTTAATATCAGACTCATGACCAGTAAATGTCTGTCTGCACATGCCCTCTCGAACATCCCAGAGTTTAGCAGAGGCATCACAAGCACCAGAGACGAATAACCGCGAGTCAGGGGCCAGAGACAGGCTCATTACATCACCTGTATGACCAGCAAACGTGGTCGTCTGCTGGCCTGTCTCAATGTCCCAAAGTGCACTGCAAGATATAGAAAAATAAATAAATTATATATTACCCACCCCATTACTTAAACGTTCTGCACACGAATGTGAGGCCTGAAAATAGCCTAGGCACTTAGGCTTTTTTACTTACCAAGTGGTATCTCCAGAGCTTGTAACAATCTGGTTGTCATCAAGAAAGCGACAACAGGACAGATATCCTGGTATTCAGAGAATCAGTAGAGAAGTTCAGTATTTTAAATGGGCAGTGGATATCTATCATGAAATAAACTAGCACTTAGATGTACAGTACTTATAGGTTTTTAGTGTGTAATATTGTCTAACAAACTATCATATGGAGCTGGGACAAATTTAATTTCAATCTCAACTTGGGGGAAAAAAAAAACAGTTAAAAAAAAGGTACATAACAGGTAAAAAAAGGAAAAGAAAAAGATTAAAACAAAATCTTATACCTGTATGTCCCGCGAGCTCACGGCTCACACGTACATTCCCCTCACGGGTTTTCAGGTTGTAAATGGAGCAGATGTTGTCTAGGCCACCACAGGCCACATAGTTTCCTGAAGGTGCATATGCACAAGTCATGACCCAGGAAGATCGAAGTGGAATGGCATGAACCTGTTAAAGCAAAACCACAGAATAAATCCATTTAGTTTAGAGTAAAAACACATTTAAAGAAAGAAAAGAGATTTAAAAGATTCTGAAGCAAGAGATTTCCCAAGCTGAAAAGACAGACCAGTGTTTCCCCTACCATTATACAACTGGGGCGCCCCGCCCCGTCAACAGAACCGAGCTCCCCACCTACCGACGCCCAATACATTTGAGGGGTTGTCAGATGTATTTAAAAATATTATAGCACAGGAAGTCCTTTGCAGAGTATAAAATAACTTTTTTTGTTGTTGTTGTTGGACAGAGTTCTCCCCTAAAATTATTATTTAATTCAAAGGGATTATAGTTAAAAGATTTTAATACATGTAGTCATTTAAAACTATTATTTTTCATATTTGATCCTTTATTAAATTGAATTTATCACAATACAATTACCTCTCGGTATGGTTATAAATTTAATCAAGTTTAGCGCATCCAAACAGCCAAAACCTTATTGCTATAATCCATCCATTATCTTTACCCACTTCTTCCTTTCCAGGTTGCTGGTGCCCAGATCCAGCATTCACTGTGCGAGAGGCAGGTCACACACTGGGCAGGTCATGAAACAACCATTCACACTCTCCCTCACACCTAGACAATTTAGAGTTAGACATTTCTGAAAAACTACAAACACCTGAAACTGACTCTCACAAAAAAGATAAACACACACACTCCTCTTTGCTATAACCTGGGCTATATAAATATTTGTCTTTTAGCTTTAATATTTCGAAAAACTAAAGCAGCAGAAACAGTATTCTCCCTCATCGTGAGAAACACTCCGGACGAGCACATGCTTTCTCTTCCGGACACGGAGTTCAGTCATGCACTCAAGTTGGACATGTCGGTACGATGATGTTGATGCTCCGAACACATTAACATTTAATTCAAAGTTAGATTTTAAATATAAAATTCCCAGGGAGGTCAGGGCGTGGTGCGAAAGGAGTGGGTTGGGGTAATGGTGTATTAGTTCTGGTATCTCCCCCGGCTGCAGTGAATTTGTCACGTGTAAACACGTCATCGCCTTCATGAAGAGGCGGGCGGTTCTGTTAGTTTAGTGGGGTGTCCTCCTGGGCTTGCTACAGGTGAGCCTTCACCTGTCTGTTTCTGTCTGCTGCGCACACCTGGGCTCACTGAGCCAGACAACACGCCCTGCTCTGCTCGGGTAGAACTGTGGCTCTGGTTCTTTATTTGTTGAAAGCAGCGTCAGTTTAGTCCTTGCATCATCATTAGATTGGATGGCTTTAACAAGACAACAATGAATGAAACACGTTTTTTCCTCCTCCTCATTTTTACAGATGACAGAAAGCCGTCTTAGCCACGTTCAAAATGACAGAAATCCATTGCGATGATGGAGAACTTTAATCCATGTGCACATCACAATGCCACAGATTTTGCAAGTTTTGAGGGAGCGTGAAACTGGTATGCTAACTGCGGGAATGTCCACCAGAGCTGTTGCCTGTGAACTGAATATTTATTTCTCTACCATTAGATATTTCAGAGAATTTGGCAGTATTTCCAACTGGCCCCACAACCGCAGATCACGTGTGACAACACCAGTTCAGGACCTCAACATCAAGCATCTTCACCTCCAAGATAGACCCGAGACTAGCCACCCGGACAGTTTGCATAACCAAAGAATTTCTGCACAAACTGTCAGAAACCGTCTCAAGGAAGCTCATCTGCATGATCGTCGTCCTCATCGAGGTCTCCACCTGACTGCAGTCCGTCATAACTGACCCAAGTGTGCAAAATGCTCACATTCAATGGCGTTGGAGTGGTAGTCTCTTCATGGATGAATCTTGGTTTTCACAGTACAAGGCAGATGGCAGTCTGTGTGTATTATGTCTTGTAGGCGAGTGGTTTGCCGATGTCAACATGAATCGAGTGACCCATGGTGGGAGTGGGGATATGGGCTGGCGTATGTTATGGACAACAAACAGGTGCATTTTATCAATGGCATTTTGAATGCAGAGATACTGTGACGAGATCCTGAGGCTCATTATTGATCTATTCGTTCACAACCATCATCTCACGTTGCACCATGATAATGCACAGCCCCATGTTGCAAGGATCTGTACACAATTCCTGGAAGCTGAAAACATCCCATTTCTTGCATGGCCAGCATACTCACCGGACATGTCGTCCATTGAGCATGTTTGGGATGCTCTGGATCGTTGTATACGACAGCGTGTTCCAGTTCCTGACAATATCCAGCAACGTCGCACAGCCATTGAGGAGGAGTGGTTCAACATTCCACAGGCCACAATCAACAACCTGATCAACTCTATGCAAAGGAGATGTGTTGCACTGCATAAGGCAAATGGTGGTCACACCAGACACTGACTGGTTTTCCGACCCCCTCCCCTCTCCAAATGGAGTAAAAGCAAACTGCATATTTTAGAGTGCCTTTTATTGTGGCCAGCTGTAAAATAATGATGTCTAATCAGCATCTTGATGTGCCACACTTGTGAGATGGGATGGATTACCTCGGCAAAGGAGAAATGCTCACTAACACAGATTTACAGAATTTTGTGAACAATATTTGATAGAAGCGTATACATAGAAAAAGTCAGATCTTGAGTTCAGCTCATGAAAAGTGGGAGCAAAAACAAAAGTGTTGCATTTATATTTTTGTTGGCAATTCTAAATTGTCCCTAGGTGTGAGTGAGAGTGTGAATGGAAGTCTCGTTTGTCTCTGTGTCCCTGTGATGGACTTGCAACCTGTCCAGGGTGTACCCGGTCTCTCGCACATTGATGGTTGGACATGGGCATCAGTGACCCGAAAAGAAGAAGTGAGTAAAGATAATGGGTGGATGGATGAAGCATTTATTGAAGTTGTGACATTTTGACTTGGGTTTTTATGTAAAACCATACAGATCTGTCTAGAATAAATAATTAGGGGTTCACCGATAAATAGGCCGGGGCCCTGATTTCCTTAATTTTGGGAAATCAGACGATATTTTCATAAGAAACCGATTTTACCAATTTTTTGTTTTAACAACAATTGTCTAAACTTAATTTATATTTCAGAGCACTACCTCATGGCCAGTTAGAACAAGTCTGTATTGTTTCTAGGATATTGTTCAAGGGTATGTTTTTCAATAAAATAGGAAAATTGAATGTGTGGCCTTATAACACCTGACAGTGTTTCTTATAAAAACAAAAATCAGTATTGGCCAAAACCAGAATCGGCAGGTCAGACTTTTTAAGAGAGAGATCGGTGATCGGCCAAAAAACTGCAATTGGTGCACCCCTAATAATTTTTTGGAATTTGAGCTATTGAAAAGCAGACTACACCGGAGGATGTGTCAAACATATATTGGAAGCAACATTGATAAAAATGACGTTGCCACAAAAACTAGTTCCAAGCCTAAATTAACATCAAACTGGTTTTAGACCCACCCTGACCTAGTACTGGAACTGCGTGGGGTTTGATATGGGCTGTTAGGTCCCTGTATGACCGGTGTCAGAGCTTGGTCCGCATTGCCGGCAGTAAGTCCGGCTCATTCCCGGTGAGAGTTGGACTCCGCCAAGGTTGCCATTTGTCACCAATTCTGTTCATAACTTTTATAGACAGAATTTCTAGGTGCAGCCAAGGTGTTGAGGAGATCCGTTTGGGTGGCCTTAGGATTGCTTCTCTGTTTTTTGCAGATGATGTGGTCCTATTGGCTTCATCAGGTCATGATCTACAACTTCCACTGGAGCGGTTCGCAGCAGAGTGTGACGCGGCTGGGATGAGGATCAGTTCCACCAAATCCGAGGCCATGGTCTTGAGCCGGAAAAGGATAGAGTGCCCTCTCCGGGTTGGGGAGGAGGTCCTGCCCTCATTTATGGTTAGGATGCCTCCTGGACGCCTCCCTGGTGAGGTGTTCTGGACACGTCCCACCGGGAGGAGACTCAGACGAAGACCCAGGACACGCTGGAGGGACTATGTTTCTCGGCTGGCCTGGGAACGTCTTGGGATTCCACCGGAGGAGCCGGCCCAAGTGGCTTGGGAGAGGCAAGTCTGGGCCTCCCTACTTAAATGGATGGATAAAAACCATCAAGGTGAACTAAGCATGAAATAACTTCATAAATTCCACAATGTAAAGTTGTCAAAAAATAGGCAACATTAATCATTAGTTTACTATTGATTGCTAGTTGTTGTTTTTTTTAGTCAAAAAGAGACCCAAGTTTGTCATTTATGGGGGGGGGGGGGAGGGGGGGGGGAAGACAACTGTTTGTTACCTTTTTTTGTAACAGGTCTAAACTTTTTTTGACACAGATTTAAATTTGACATAATTACACAAATTAATAGGGAAAGAAATACCTTGTTTGTGGTATAGCTATCCCAAATAATGAGTTTGCCATCTTGAGAAGCGCTGACCAAAAGCCTAAAAGAAAAAAGCAGCATCAATGTAAATATTTTGTGTACATGTATATATTTTCCAGTGTTTCCCCTAATATTATACAAGCAGGGTGCCCCACCCCGTCAACAGAACTGAGCACCCCGCCTACCAAATCGAACTTGAACAACCCCCCCACCTGGCACTGACATAGCACTAAGCTAGTGGCGCGAAATACAGGCTCTCTAGCTAAAAAGCTAAAGGTGCCTCTTCCTTCACGCTGAACAGCCCCCACTCAAAAATTCTTGGTACAAGCTCCGCTCAGACATGTCTCCGTCCCTGCCCATCAACAAAAATCATGGACGAGATGAGCACCCCGCCATGGCAAGTTAACTAGGGAAAACATCGTTTTCAGTTTTTAAATTTTGTTGCACGCGTTTTAATTCAGTTTTAAAGAATTAGGAACACTACAAAAATGAAAATAGGAAAATAAAAAAGTCCAGCAAAGCAAAACGGACACAATTAGATCATGATTATCTTAAATTTACCTTGAATCTGTTCCCCAGTGCATGGCATAGATTTTAGCCAAATGACCTCGCAGCGTTCGTCTTGTACGCATCTGGATTCGGCCAATGGGATCAATATTAGCGGTGATCTGCAAACCATTTGGCACTATGGTTAATTTCAAACAATGCATTCATTTGGAATTATTTAGCATGCTGCTTTTTACGCACAAGCAATAATTAAGCTAAAAAATACCTGTGATAGTGTGGCATCTGCACATGCTTTCCTAGCATCCTGAAGAAAAACAAATTGAAACCAGCTTTTTAGTGCACAACTTCTTCATATTGCTTTAGGATTTCTTTTTACAGGTTCAACTTGTGAATTTTACATGATCCAACCTATATGTCAAATATAAAACTTTACTTATTTTATTTATTTTTACTCACTCTGATCTGATTCTTGAGCTGCTCTGCCTCTTGGCGTAACTGGTCCAGTTCACTCATTTTATTATTTTTTAATTACCTTTCTTCAGCTACCAGGGCACTTGATCTAGGATAAACACAAATTGAAAAAATAAATAAACAAAAAGTATGCTTTTTCACCAATCCGCAAAGCAACATTATATTTAAGACGAGTTAAGACAATGAAGGTATGAAGGTACCGGTTCATTTTAGTAGACTTAAAAGCCCTTAAATAGAAAATTTATGATGTAAAGCTCATTGTGCTCTTATATTCACATCTCAATGTCAGTGTGTCCTGACACACAATTCAGATTGCCAGACAAATCCAGTTATGGCATGACTTTCCAGTGATCCAAAAAGCAGTCATTATCCCGTTGACCTCAATCCCTGGGGTACTCAGAATTTTTGCCAAGTGATCAATAAGCCACTTATATTAATACAGATCCCTGAGGCACTCACAAAGTTCATCTAAGAAAATATATGTGAATTCAAAATTGTGATAAATTTCCAACTTAAAATAACCCATTTCACATTTATCATAGAAAATTAATGCATTTGCTTTATATACAGAAAAATTGACATTGATTACCGGTACATTTATTTAACACGAGAGATTCACTTAAATTTGGTCTGCAAAACAGTACACTTCACTAAAAAATATGAATAAAATACAACTCAATATCTCATTAAAAAAATACAAAATAGTTACAATTGCTAATTTTCATTGCATTTTTGAAATGCAGTTAATAACCGCAAACATTACTGGCATACTGTGTTGCTTTGAATTAACGCCACACAACATTATAACAAAAAAAAAAACTGAGTTACAAAATATTTTTTTTAGGTATTGCAGTGAAATGTTATGATGGCACCTCATCACAAGCATAGATTTGAATGAGAATCCACATAATGTTAATTGTTGCAATAACATGGTTACTGGTCTGTTAAAGACTGCAGATATGCGAGAACAGGGTTGTATCGCATTATTAATTTTTAAAGAGTGTAAAAAAAAATTGTAAACATCTATAGCTGCACTTGTACACGCAGAGTTTAAAATTAAAGAAAAAAATTGTTATGCCAATTTCAATGAGGAAAAACTACCTTCTAAACCCCAAGTAAATAGGCACATGATTATGTCCATATACAAAAACACCTAGGATGTTTTTTTAGATAAGACGTCTGTACAAAAATTGAAATCAAACTAACTGAATTAAAATAGACTTCGTTCTAAAAGGCAACTTTCTGTATTATGCATGACCTTCCAAATAATACAACCCATAAATGAACTGTAAGATTAGACTTCTTTGCTTCTGACAAGTTATATTTCAATAATGCAAAATCAAAACAAAAAAAAAAATCTCTACCTCCCGATAAACTCTGCGGCTAAGGGCATACATTAAATAAAACATTAGCTCAAATAGCAAAAGATTATTTATTTGGTCTTTTCAATTACCTTACCTTGTGTATTTTAGTCAGTACACCTTTATTACTGAAGGCTGCAAGACAAGACTGCCAGTCTCCTCTATCCGACTATATTCCCTTTTAGGTTAGCTGATGGACTGACCTTTTTAACAGATTATCTTCTTACACTCATTAATCTTATAATAAACATGTCATGGAACATGTTTATTATTTAGCATCATCGACAGCACAATATCATCATCTCGAGGACCTCTGAAAGGAGCAGATACAGTATCTGAAATAGCATTTTCAACTTTTAAATTGCAATAAATCAATTGAGTTAAAACTGTGCCAGATTCTATTACTTTTCAATTCATTAGCCATACAAAACTTTTTAGTAGTTTGAGCAAAATATATGCAATCTGTGCTGACAAAAGTCACCATGTTTCAAAACAGAGTTTCAAACCCTCCCATCTCAAAAACATTAAAAATGATGTGCACTTTGACATTTGGCAGTTTATCACCTGGCTAACAACAAGCTAGTTTTGTTTATGAAAGTGTCAAGATTGAAAACTTGATTTTTTTTTTCCTGAAGTGATGTCATCAGCTATATATTTAGAAATACGAATACCCAAGCTTCACAATGACGTCAAACATTATACAAAGAGATTTCCTGGCACTTTGGCAACCAGAAGAGAAAAACTGTTAATTTCAAAATGATGGTTATAAGACAAAGGATTAATTCTGAAGACAAATGATGTTACTTTAGTAGATGTTGCCTATAGATCAGTTATTAGGCAAATCTTAACTACAGCACACACACACACACAAATTATAATATATATATATATAATCATTTTACATGTGCTCATACAGACTGATTTTTGCCAGCATGGGTCATGCATGTTTTGTCCTCACATGCAGTGTTTTTAGTGTATTATTCTGTAATTAGTCGAAAGTGTAAAGCTCTCTTGTTTAGGTTTGATATGAATTTAAAGCGCAATATGAAAGTTTATTGGAATTTTTTTTACATGCCCCTGAAGCTTTCAATTGCAATTCTCAGTCAACATTTTGAGTAAACCTGCCTGTTTTTCCCATCACTAATGCATTATTGACTGACAGTTTATTTTATAAAACTCTTAGTTTACATGACTCAAATGTCAATGGGCAATAATAATGTGGATTCTGAAGTTATACAAAATGAGTTTTAAATTTAAGAGTCACGAAATGTCAGAAAATTATAAACACTGAGGATTGTGGATGCCTTAAGTAGTTCCTCTCTCTCATCACTTCTCTTTTCCAAGCGCCTGATCAGAGTCAGCTGACTGCATGATAAACAACGAGCAGTGGCAAACAGCTTGGAGTCGCAGCTAGCACTAGCTGTTTTCAAATCCCTTAAACGATATAAGAGTCTCCTATTACCAAGGATGTTGTGCACATTATCAGCCAATTTAGAAAATATCTTACAGTGCACAGAACATCTGCTCACAAGTGACCTGCTGGATTATCTGTACTGTTAAACTCTGATAATGCAGTGTTTCACAGGTCTAAAGCTGGATCATGGAAAAAGCCATAACCAGCAGTATCACTGAGCAACTCCATAATCCTAAAAGCTGAAATCCACAGTCCACGAGTCTCTAATCCTATCCATGTCCACGAACATAAACAGTAGCAAAGCCAGGCTAGGCATTAAAAATATGTTTTCAGAATTATAAAAAGGATGGATCTAATCTCACTTTTATACACAACAGCAAATCCAGGCACTTGCTTAGAGAAAGTGCCTGGATTTCCAGCTGCTGGTAATAATCACTGCTTGGTTCTTCAGCTGGACACATTATTACCAACTAATAAGCAAATATGCATCCATCAGAATTCAGAAATCCATGAAGTTACAGTAAACTAAAAAAATATAAGGATAGTACATTTATGAGTAAAAGTTATGTACTAGCTGCATGAACAATCAGATATATTTTAAAAATTTGCTTCACTTATAATTTACCCAGCACTGCATTCAGTGAACAAACAGCTGAGGTACGAGTTATGTGCAGCATTGTGATTTGCCTGCAACACTGGTACAAACAAAACAGATAATTTGCATTGCATTTGCATGTCTGTTAGATAACCCTTCCAGTTAGTTTTGTTGCTCCCATTCTTTAGGGATGTAATGACTGATAGTCATTTCAGGAAGGACATTTTAACAATTGTACGTAAAAGGGAGGCAAGAATAGAGTATTGGTGTTTAAATCTAATCAAATATTAATTTAGTTTGCAGTGCACAAAGTAATGCTAATAAAGCTAATGTGACTTGCACTGATGGAAATCAGAGGATGCAGCTAAACGCCATCTTGCAGACTGCTGTATGCTAGTTAGCCGACGCTAACAGACTTGAAATGAGGCCTGTAGGCAGGGCAGAGCCGATATCTGGTACAAAATGTAAATCCAATTATCCGTAATTTAACCCATGAGTCGATTGTTTTTTTTTTTATACAAAAAGATATGATGGAGTCTTTGAATTTCGCTACAAACCCACGAGCTTTATCGCCCGATGTAAAATATAACCACGACCACTTCTGGGAAGACTCCGCTGCTCTTCCGCAATTACACCGGAATGCTAGTTAGCTAGTAAGCCACCATTGGACAAACCCAGAAACCGTCTTGTTTACTGGCCTGCAGAAATCCACTTACTTACATACCAACAATCTCGTTAAAGGCTACAATTCCCGTCTTGATTTAATTTTAATACGAACTGATCGTGTGTTTTAGTAGATTTAATCCTGTAACGAACCCGAGCCTGTAAAAAAAACTGCAAGGTCGGGGCGGTAACGGCCTGTTTCACTTCAGCAAGCAACTAATGCAGTAACGGAGCCTGAAATGTTTTCATAACGTGAATTGCCCACCCTTTGTTGCAATGCAAAAAAAAAAAAGTCCATCGTTTAGTTAAAACCAAACTATGAGGTTGCGCCGCCGCAGCCGTCATGTAAATTAGGCTTGTTGAAAAAGGGGTGTTAACGCATCCACAATAACGCTTTTTAAGTGTTTATATATTTATAAAACATATAAATTAGAGATACATAATGATCAAAAGAGTGAACTTGCGCTGTCAGATGATCTGCTTCCGTCATCTAACATTTGACGGTAAATTTGTTTACGGGACTTTTATTGTTTCAGCTCAAACCAGTGACAATCTAATCCTCAACATAATTACATTTAAAACTACTTAATGTAAACTATATAGTTGTACCATTGATGTCAACGGTCTTGTTTAGCACATAGTTTGCAGATCCGTGTTTTAGGCCAAGCAGCACCTCCACGGGGCCGTCAGTGACAGCAGTCTGACTGGCCAACATTTAAGTTGTTTAAAACACAATCCCGAACCGATTTCTTCGCATTAGGAAAAAAATGAAACTTATTTTAAAATGACTGGATGCAAGTTACACAAGAACTTGTAGCAATTTCTGATTATCTGCAAAATCCTGATATCACCCCCTCTGCAAAAACTCTAGTATTTCCGTTTTGAATCCGCTCATTATAAAATAGGCTCAACGTTAGCTAACCGCTGCTAACTAATGCTACCCCACCCCCGGGCAGTCCGATTCGACCACCATTCCTCAGCTAAAGCTACCAATTACCACTGTTGTTTAATTTCACCTTACCTGATTCAGTCTGCGCTTGATTTTACGCTTTGGCATTGACTGAAAAACAAGACGGCGTAATCCTCCGATCCACGCATCAACGAACACCACAGCGCTAGCTCACTAACTAGCTAACCGAGCTAGCGTAGTTTTCCGAGGAGCAGCCCTTCCCGAAAGCAGGCAGGCTACGGCTGGGGGAGCTTGACAACCGAGGCGGAGAAGGGAGGAGGAGGAGGGGGGGAAAATCACACCCACTAGCCTGGTGTTGACGACAATGCGCTGACAGTCAAGACAGCCAATTTAAAACGTCCCTACTTCTACTCGTCCGTAAGAAAGCCGGCGATTTCACCTTTGCCGAGCCTTAACACCTGCCCTGGCCGGAGTTTGACGAGTCTCGTGCGGCCATCGAACGACGAGATGGGCGCGGTGACCCTGCAGTCGGAGCTGGGAAACCCCACGTTGCAGCAGAACCCTCACTTCGATTGGGGTGTTTTAATTAAACAAGTGAAGATGCAATGGTGGTTGTCTGTTTTCATCGAATTTTCCTCAGAGGTTTGTTTTGCTTCATACAAACGAATGCAAAGTACTTGATGTACTCTAGTTGCTCCCCGTCAAAAACTGCCCCTTGGCTTCCAAAATAGTTTTGGTAGCCTTGATTTTATGAGAGTAGAAAGTAACAGATCCAAATCTGGATTATGAAATCAGATTACAAAGTAAATTGATATAATCAAGTCACAAAATAGGGCCCATAGTTCAACCCCAATTCCAAAAAGGTCCATTTGCCAATCTCAAACCTATTTTTATTTGCAATGGAACAAAGTCAACATGGAAAGTTTAAACTAAGAAACCTTAAGGGGAATTTTTATTTTATTTGATGGTGGCAGTGCGTCTAAAGTAGGGACCAGGCAACAAAAGGCTGTAAAATTAAGTGGTGCAAATAAGAAACAGCTGGAGGAGCACTTGCAACAAATTAAGTTAATTAATCACAGTTCAATATGAGGACTGGGAATAAAATAAACTCAGAAATAGAGATGGGCAGAGGTTCACCCGTTATTGAAAATCTCAAAAAATAAATAAATAAATAGTGGAACAATTTCAGAATTAACGTTCCTCAATGAAAAATTAGGAAGAGTTTGATTTCCCATTATCTACAAAAGGTGAAAAGTCAATATTGGATAACTGTGATCTTAGGGTGTTCAGATACAAACTTCACTTGATAAAATTGCTCAGCTGAAAAAGAAAGTAATCAATCAGAGAAAGCTGTCTCCTTGGTTCAATTCTTAGTTACATACCTTAAAACAGGCATCTGGAAAAGCTGGGAAGAAAATGGCTCTCCACCAACGTTGAATATTGGTAATTTTATTTAATTTGGAGAGATAGCCTGCTAATATATAAGAAAGCTCTCCATAAAGCTAGAACTGTATATTGTTCATCTGTAATAGATGAGAATATAAATAACCCCAGGTTTCTGTTTAGTACTATATCTAGTCTAATGAAAAATCCCATCTCTGTTGAACCATATACATGTCCTTCTAAAAAAATTAGCATATTGTGATAGAGGTCATTATTTTCCATAATGTAATGATAAAAATGAAACTTTCATATATTTCAGATTCATTGCACATCAACTGAAATATTTCAGGTCTTTAATTGTTTTAATACTGATGATTATGGCGGCATACAGCTCATGAAAACCCAAAATGCCTGTCCCAAAAAATTAGCATATCATGAAAAGGTTCTCTAAACAAGCTATTAACCTAACCATCTGAATCAACGACGTAACTCTAAACACCTGCAAAAGATTCCTGAGGCTTTTAAAAACTCCCAGCCTTGTTCATTACTCAAAACCGCAATCATGGGTAAGACTGCCGACCTGACTGCTGTCCAGAAGGCCATCATTGACACCCTCAAGCAAGAGGGTAAGACACAGAAAGAAATTGCTGAACCAATAGGCTGCTCCCAGAGTGCTGTATCAAGGCACCTCAGTGGGAAGTCTGTGGGAAGGGAAAAGTGTGGCAGAAAACGCTGCACAATGAGAAGAGGTGACCGGACCCTGAGGAGGATTGTGGAAAAGGGCTGATTCCAGACCTTGGGGACCTGTGGAAGCAGTGGACTGAGTCTGGAGTAGAAACATCCAGAGCCACCGTGCACAGGCGTGTGCAGGAAATGGGCTACAGGTGCCGCATTCCCCAGGTCAAGCCACT